TTTTGAAGTTAAACTCATTCCAGGGTTGTGAGATAAATGAGTGTAAAAAGAACAATTTCCCTTAACTTGCTTCTAGAGTAGTAAAAATGCATTTCTGAGGACCTTGTAAAAACATTTCCCACCAAGGCACACATCGGCAGACAATTAGGAACAAAATGCTCAGAACTGGAAATGAAATGTGATCCCCAAAACAATGGTGGAAGAAGTATTCAGTTTTTTTTTTTTAAACTTAAATAAAAGTATAAATAACAGAAGAAAAAAAATAGTCAAGTAAAAGTATCACATGAAAAAATTTACTTAAGTAAAAGTTTTAAAGTACCTGCTTAAAAAGGTACTTCAAAGTAATAAGCAAAAGTATTTCACATTTCATATTTTGAGGTCTTACAAGGCATCAAAATAATGATTTTGATAAAGATTTGGGCTGAATTTTGTTAAACAGAAACAGACTACACGTGTTAAAAATAAACGTTCAGCCTTTTCAACAAGACAATACTATAACTTTTCAGTCCTTTTCAAAAATATAATGGTAGGAAGTACGGATAACTTTTCTCAAGTGTAGTAAAGTAAAAGTAAAAAGTATCCACTTAAAAAAATACTTAAGGAAGTACAGATAGCTCACATTTATACTTATTTATAATACTTTACTACTTTTACTTCATTATGTTCCAACAGTGCCCCAAAGCAAACTGAATGCATGTGGCAAGCATCCAAAAATATGTTAGACTGTAGTTTTATAGTTGGCCTCATCATGCTAATAAGTTAGAGCGTAATCCTTCAACACACCATCATATGCAATCTGCCAAGCCAAGTTTTTAAACCGCTTACAACCAGGGAAGTAAATTAAACGCAGCCAGCTTGATGAATACAGCATGTTATGATTTGAGCATTGAACAAGCCACATTGTGAGACAAATCGATCAAAATGGCAGCTTACACACACACACACACACACACACGCACACACACACACACACGATCCGGTCGCTGTCCAGGCGTGTTGAGGGGCCATTGACCTTCTACTTCCTGTGTTGTTCTCAAGAGGGAAGGTTTGTGGATGACAGCAAACTTCAGACTTTTCTTTTAGCATGCCTCTCCCTCTTGCTCTGTCAGTGCGTGGTCTCATTTATCACAGGAAGCGTGGCAAACAGCGTGCTTGCATTCAAACCACAATGCTGCACATGAGGTCAGAGGTGAATAAGATGACAAATTATGTCAAGAGAAGAAATTGAATGGTGAAAAAGAAAAGGACTAAATATTTTATCTAGTCACTGGAAACTCATCAGTCTTGGAAAGAGGTGGGAAGAAGTGGTTGATTTTGTTACTGAAGTACTGGAGCAAAAAAAACAAACAAATAATAATAATAATAATAAATCAAGTAAAAGCTACTGTATCTTATAAAGCACATGTGAATCATGCATCATGTCATAGGATCTTAAATCTATGACTGGTCAGACACTAAGAACAGTTCATTGTTAATATAGTATATGTAAAAAAAAAAAAAAAACAGGTCATTGTAAAAATTCCTTAGAAGAATGCCTGTGTGAATCTCATAATCTTGAGTGTAAAGTTACTCTGGTCTGTGTTCGATCAGGTCCCTTGAGCAGATTTTCACAGCAGCTGTGGTGGGACAAAACACCTAACCTCTTCCCCGGCTGTGAGAGTGGACCTTCAACGAGTATCATTGCAACATACCATATTTATTTGTGTCAAATTCAGTTTATTACCTGATATGGCAATTTTTTCATGTTATAATTGGCAACATAAAACATTTCACTTAAAAACACTGTGAAACTGCAACATGAATGAATTTGAATGTGAAGTCTTACTGTGCCAAACACTTCTAAATTACAGGTCAGTGCTCAAAAAACAAACTTAACACCTATTACTGGCTGAACTCCTGCACGTCCTTAGAGAGGGGTTAGAACAAGATACAAAAATATATTCAAATAGAAATAAGTCCTGATTTGTGGTTTGTCCTTCCATTACACCACGTTAAATCAATCATATAAGCCTGTCTAGCAGGCAGCTTTTGTTTGACAACTAATAAACACAGAGAAAACAGTGCCTGTGTATTGGTCTGCAGTTTTTGTGATGTGTTGTAAATCTACAACTCTGTTATTGACAACACATGCACCCTTTCTCTTACGTCATTTATCAAGCATCTAACTGATATTCAAATGAAATGCATTTTTGCATTTGAACCTCAAAAAACATCAATTGACCACATCCATGCTCTAAGCTGCTGAGACTAAGCTGTTAGTATACAGACTTGAGAGGTCTGTGTAAATGCATGTTTTACATCAACAGGTCGTACAGTAAGTTAATGGGAGGGGGGCTAATGAGGGGCCAGTGAACATTGGAAAGGGTTATTCTTCACTCTCACTAATAAAAACAGAAGACTGTACCCTAGCACTTACAGTCTATTAGAAAACATACGCAACATAGATTGTTTAAAGTTATAATATAAGTACAAATCTTATAGTAGAGTTACGAAAGTGAAAGTTGTGACAGTTTTGTCACAGAATTCTCATATCTGCTCTATAACTTCAAACAATCAATGCCAGAACATGTGTTTACTGACCTTTTATAAGTATGCAATTGGTGTGAAATATGCCTTTTGTTTTCCCCTGCTTTCAAAATGTAAAATTTAAAGACAAAAGAATCAGTCCAGACTGCACAGAGAGCAATAGTTTAGCTTGTCGGCTGAAATATTTTTACCTTCCCAAACACAAACACATGGGTCAGCTGTGCACTGCCCCCCGTGCTGCTTCAGACGCCCGGCCTCCATCTCTCTGTCCATCACCCTCTCCCTGGGGCACTGCAGCTGCATGTCTGACCCACAGGCATTTCTCACTCATAATTAAAACTGGGAAACCATTCTCTGCCATAAATTGAGGACAAAAACTAAATCAGAATTGCTTTTATTTGTCCCCAAGTGAAAATGTTACAAATGTGCAACTGACCAGCAGTAGAACAGAGTTAACAAAAAAATAAAGTTAAGAAAATATAAATAAAGCAGTAAAAAAATAAGTACACTGAGTCTTTATAAACGAAACCTCCAGTGGAAATAAAATCAATTTAACTTATGAAACAAATATTATAATATCCTCATATTATTTTTTTGTCCTTATGTACAGTTTTACAACAGTGGGGCAATCAACAAAATATTGCAGAAGGATTATGCTTTTACAGCTGTGGTTGTTGCAGTTTTGATTTCCGGTGTCTGTCATTTATAGTATTGTCCTGCTGGACCTCAGCCGTCTCAGTTCTTGCTTCAGTCTAGTTTATTATCCAAGTACGGCCCCAGGTACTTATACTCCTCCACCACATCCACTTTGACCATGTTAATGAACATGAGGTCACAACAGTTTTGGTCCTCCTCAGATCCACCATCAGTTCCTTGGTCTTTTGTCACATTGAGCTGAAAGATGGTTCCTCTCGCTCCAGGTGACTTTGAAGTTGATTTTGGTCATAAAATCTGGCAACACAGATCTCATTCAGTTTTTTTTTAAATTGTATAATACGTTTGAGAAGAAACAATTAAAATGTAAACATAGCCAATTTTTCTGAATTTTTTTTGTAATAAATCAACATTGGTCCAAATTATATTTGATTTTAATATGTTTATCATAAATTGGGATGCTGATTTATTTTTGAGAAATATTTTCCAAATTTCCTTTATATAACCATTAAAGTACACTTACTATGTACAATTACTGTGTATTTAAATGATATTTTGACTGTAATACAACATTGTTTTTTTTTTTTGTTTTTTTTTTTAAAGGTCCACTTAATGCAACCAAGTTTTGTGATGCTAGAGCTTTAAAATTCTGCAGCATTACATAATGTGGTGTGCCACATCCCAAGTGCACATGCCCATAAATGTTTCTCTTTTCTTTTTAGTGAAGGAAAACCATTAGACAACTTTGTGGCTTGCTAAAGACTCCAGCATTAATGGCCATTAATCACTTGTTTTCAACTATTCCCCAAGAAAGCCCTTGAGCAAATTCAACTTGAAGAAAATGTTGTATTTTTTACAGCTAATGATTATTTTGGTAGCGGACTTTAGTCAAGCCATTAATATACATTTAGATTTTACATGTGAAATATGAAATGCTGTGACTGAAGGCTTCCAAATGGAGAATGAAATTGCATTTACAATGTATAATTGATGAAAATCTAAAATGTTACATTTTTTTTGGACATTTTGATTAAATATTTTTCAGAGTCTGTGTGTTCCAGGTAAAAATAAAGATCAAAATAAGAAAAATACAATTATTTCAATAGTTGACTAGTCACAATCTGATTAATCTTTGCAGGCCTAAGTATTATTATGGTCATTTGTGCCATATTGACCAAACATATTGACTGATCAGTTAATTGAATGATGGACTGATTGTTGATTGATCTGGCTCTTATGTCTGGACTGTGTCACTTCTTTGAGCACCTCTCAACACTTTAAACTCTCCACTGCAGATTAAAGCCCCCGTCATCTGGATCTCATCAGCCTCACTGTTTTATAGGTTATTTTTCATTCAGTGGAGAGGGAGTGATTTAGGGTTACACAGAATAGGGGTTGGAGGAGAATAAAAGTGACTTGAATGAGGTAGCATGTTAGTCCCCTCGGTAACAGCACGTCCATGAGTAGCACTTTTGGCTTTCAGCAAGTGTGAGAAATCTGGTGCGTGTCTATCAATTTCCTTTTAGCTTTTCCAAGTTTAACGCTGGCAACATGTGTAGAACTGGTGTCAGTGCCAAACATCATAAATCAATTTTGGAAAATGTTGCGGCCAAAAATACACTGTCCAATAAAGTATTTCTTATAGAAGTTAACATCAAAAAGGATATGCTGCACTGGGTAGAATTATCGTTATATTTCCAGATAAGACACATGACGTTTAATGAAAAAAATACTTATACTACTATAGTCCAGGTTATAAACATTAAACCCATTATTTATGTAATAATAAATGCCATGATTCAGTGCACTTTGTTTTATAGGAGGAAATGCTGTGATGGATTCAGGTTCGTGATGGGCCAGTGCATACCAGAAAGTAAGTACAATTTGTGCTTTAAAAATTATCTTTGCTTTGGTCTTGCACAGCAGTAATTTGATTATTGACGACATGAGCCACTAGAGGGCAATGCTTGTCTTTGTTTTGGTCTGTAGGTGTAGACGTGTGTGCTGCTTCCCCATGTGAACAGCAGTGCACAGATAACTTTGGAAGAGTGGTTTGCACCTGTTACCCTGGATACAGATTTGACCGAGAGAGACACCGCAACCATAAGTCTCCATACTGCATTGGTTAGTTTATTGAGAGCTTTGAAGATTAGATAGAAGAACCTAACTATTTTATAAAGTGGATTGCAACCACAAATTCCTAGCCTGGAAATCCATAAGGATTTCTCTCTGTATTTGTTATACAGATCCATATCCGCCACTGGTACAGCGATGAGTCTGGATTTTTCCAGGCAAACAAATTCACATCATCATTTTCAAAATCCTGCTATACTCAAAAGATCATTTTAACATCTGATTTTTGTGATTTTAACATCTGGTTTTATTATTATTATTTTTTTTCCCAAAATATTGACCACTTTTGTCCTCTGTTGATGCAGATATTAATGAGTGTGAGCATCCTGACAGCAACATTTGTGAGCATGAGTGTGTGAACACAGTGGGCAGCTTCTCCTGCCGCTGTCACACAGGCTACATCTTGGGCCCAGACCAACACTCTTGCATCCCTGAGCACTGTGAGTCTTCTCTTACTCAACACATATCTAACATAAACACTGTGAGTGTCTCTCAAAACCATGTATCTGACTTATAACATGAACACTTTGGAGTCCTTATCAAGTTTTGTTTGGAAATCCAGTGAAGCTCATGACACATGAGGTGAGTGTACTCTGTGACAGCGGTGTGTTTTGTCTCACAGTGAGTTCTTCAGGGAAGTCAGAGACTCTGATGAGTGCTGGGGCCTGCTCCTTCACATGTCAGGACTTTGTCAACATGAAGAACAGTCTGCAGCAGCTCAAGTCAAAACTGGGCAGCACACAGGCATCAAACCAGGTATTGTGACTCCTCTTGGGAGCTCTGAATTTAGAAAAATCTCAAAAGAAAAACCTCAAATAAGACATGGTCCTAATATAAAATGCTGATTTTTCTTTGACCAAAGACCTTTTAAATGATGTTGACTCTTGTGTTCAGGTTTCTGGCTTAGCCAACAGCAGTGATAAGCGATCTCATGGGAGATCAGGCAAAACTTCTGCTGGCTTATGTCCTCCTGGCCTTCCGGGGTCTCCAGGATCCCCTGGAGTACCAGGTAATATCGTAACAATACAATTTGTGTTTTAACCTGTGCTAATGAAACCTAACTAATAAAAATAATCATGTTAAAAATAATCATGTAATTGTGTTGTGAGCAGGACACCCAGGTGAACCAGGGAGGAGAGGTGAGCCAGGAGAGAGGGGCCCACAAGGCCCTCGTGGTGACATAGGGCCCATGGGTCCAGAACCTGACCTGAGGCATATCAAAAGAGGCCGCAGGGGAGCAGTGGTAAAGTTATTTTACATTTAACTTCATTGCCTGTGTTGCTTGGACCATTTTTTCCAGATGTTTTTTTTTTTTTTTTCTAAAATAATTTGATTTAGTGTTTTCCAACAATCCCTTTCATTTTTATCTTTTTATGCAGGGTCCTCCAGGAGCACCAGGAAAGGATGGACTGAAGGTCAAAATTCATTTAAACCTATCACTGTTGTTGTTATTGTTGTTGTTAAATAGCCTCTCTAACTTTTGCCACTGCTACCCTGTAATTGCGCTATTTTTGTTTTTTCCACAGGGTGAAAGAGGAGCACCAGGTCCCATTGGTCCACCTGTATGTTAAAACGCCTCACCGAATTAATAATTTTAGTATCAACAGATGTTTAGGATAATAACTTCAATCACTCTGCTTTCCAGGGTCCACCAGGGTCCTTTGACTTTCTCCTGCTCATGATGGCAGATATCCGTAATGACATCATCGAGTTGCAGGAGAAGGTGTTTGGCGAGAGGCGAGGTCTCACTCTGGACTCCTCCCCTCACCCCGGAGCAGAGGAGGATGTTTTGGACTGGGGATCTGGACAGGGCGATGTCACGCTAAACTCATGACCTTTAGCTTTCTTGACCACTGCATTCCCAAAAGCAATATAGGACACTAGAGGAGGACCAATATGCCATAACTGTGAGCAGCGGACAGAGGATTACCTGTTACAAAGTGGACCACAGACTGTCTGGCTGCAGGCACTTCCCCAACCTCTTTCATATTTCATGGATAGAGAGGTGGAATGTGCGTGCGGGCCCATGAGTGAGGAAGATGCTGCCTCTGCCTTTGTGTCTCTAAGCTAAACCACTTCAAACGGCACACACTTTATCGTCTACATCTCTTCCTGTTAGGGAATTTTGTGTGTGTGTGTGTGTGTATGTGTGTGTGTGTGCGTTGGGTGGGTAGGCGGGTGTTATAGAGTCTGTGGGCCAGGCCTGGGAGCCCCTCTGCACCTGTGGTCAGGCCTGCAGCAGATCATCACCCTCTGAGAACTCATGAGGTTTATATGAGCTGGACAGTGACCTCTTTTGTACTTTTGATATTGTTTAGATAAATTAACTTAAAGGTGTCAGATATTAAATTATCTGTGATGTCTATTATACTGTATTCTATGTGTATGTGATAATAGGAAAGTTACAAAATTAATTATAGTAAAATAGTCAAATCTATTTCTCAAATGTGATGGCTTCTGGCGTGTATGATTTGAAGGTAAAATAATAGAGAAAATTATTTAGCAATTGACAGCATTCAAAGTGAAAATTACTAATAGGACTTTATCATGGATAAATATTAATGAAAAGTTATGAAATACAAACAAATTTTCTGCTAAGGTGTTGGCTTTTTTTAAATCCACATCCAATCTGAGCATTGAGTCATGTACATAGAGAGGACATCATACACTGCATGCGATGTCAATACACTTCTAGCACAAAGGTTAATTCTGTAATTGTGTAGGCCAATGAGAAAATGTATTATATGTTTACAGCAATACTACTATATTTCTTACATGCCAAATCAGTCTTCCCACTAGCAGAGAGCACTAAATCAGTTATTTTCACCCCATGTTTGTTTTTAAGAATCCAAGCCAGTTGAGAGCTGTAGTTCTACCTCTAGTAAAGCTATAGTTGTGACCCTGGTTGATCTGTAAATATTGAATGTGGAAGGGAAGGAGACCAGAGTAAATCACCCTAACATTTATGTGACAAACAAGTGTTCACCCTGGTGTTGACTGTTGAACTATAGCGTGGCTAGGTGTCATTATCAAGAGTCTAAGTATTAGGGGTCAGGGGTCAAATGCCTGGCAGAATGATAATTATAAACCGCAGGCCATTTCAGGGGCTTGTTAGAGCTTGCAAGACCATCGAGGAAGAATCTACGTAGGTCTCGTTTACCAAAATATGATGTCTCTTTTCCAGATGTGTCAGAATTTATTGTCTCCTACAAAACGCGCATTTAAGATTACGTGATTGAAGACAAACTCAGTGTACAGTTGTACGGCCAGTCAACAAAATGCGTGTCTGACAGCTGTCTCCACCTCACAGCTCCACCCCTTAGCGTGACATTTCTGCTTGCAATATTGTCATGGTGACTGATCGGAGAAAACACTGAGGAACTTAAACCTATGTGACCACGAGCAAAACGAAAAATACGTTTTAAAAGTCGTGTAATTGGGCCTCTATAATGGCCACTAGGTGGTAGCAGTAACGGGTCAACATAGTTTATTTTGTTGTTTTTTTGTTTTGTTTTTTTGTTGTTGTTTTTTTCTCGTTTCTGACACTTTTCACCTCACTCTCAGTTTATCAGCGCACCCCAGAATAAGAACGTTTATAATACTCTGACCTCTTAATCTAATCCCTCTTTGGCGTTTTGGGGATAGCACAAATGTGTTTAAACAATAGGCCAACCGGTGTACCAACAGTAGCCTATTAATCCAGAAATTGAGGTGCAAAATATACAGAGGCCAAATTAAAAAATGGCCAAGTTACCAGTTAGATCTGTGGAGACAGGCCCACTCACAGTAAGAATGCATGTTTTTCAAGGTATAAATTTAAGCCATAAATCACTTTCCTGATTATGTCATACAATATTTCACATGCTTGTTATTCTTCATGTCATTACAAGTTTAGACATAATATGTTTTTTTCTTCCCATTTTCCCCCCATCCCTAAAAAACAAACAAACAAACAAACAAAAACATATACTAGATAGATATTATCTTTAATGCCATACTGTGTAACATTCCAGGCAAAACAATTAACACTTCCATGGAGTAGAGCGAGAGAGAGAGAGAGAAGTTACATGTGCATCTTTCATGTTCTCTCTCTCCAAAAATAGTTGTGACTTATGGTCAGTGCTATCAAACTGCTCATATAACCAATATCAGAAAATAAACCTCCTAAAATATTACAATGATGTCTCTGAATATTCCAGCATGTCTACCAGCCCTGTATGACTTAATGAATGATGTGACTGCCAAAAGCCCACAGTTGCTGATTATAGGACTCACAGAGGTAATGGTCATTTTAAAATGAAAATGGACAGCTATTCATATTTCACACAGTAAAAATGTTCAAGTATTTTATTTTATTAATATCATCATTATTATGTTTTCCTTTTAAATTAAAATCTAGTGATGTGTCTGTCAAATGTGTCAGTGAGCTGTCATCTTTAAATGAATATAAAGATAGGAGATCAATTTGGCCAGATGTTTCTCAGTATGAGTGGAATCTGTGCTGGCACAGTGCTGCTGTCCATAAATACCCTCCTGCACGAGAGCACTGCCACTTCAAACCAGACTGTGTCAGCACCACTCCAACCCTCTTATCCAAGCGTTTCTCAGTATATAGGGAATGCAACACAGTAAATACTACTTTTGACTGCTAATATATTTAAAATGTATCTTTTGAATTGGAATCATGTACACCTTCACTTGTTGAACATACTCTGGACAAAAATGGAGGAGACTAAAAAAGGAGTTATGAGCAAAGTTGTTGTAATAGGTTTTATGGAAAAGGGAACATAGCATGAGAATTGTCTTTTTCCTTAATGATATATGCATGTCTCCTATAATTCTACTGTAACTGTAATGTGTGACCTGTAGAATCAATTTTATGCAGAAACTGCAGTTGTGAAAATAACAGTGACCTAAAGGCACAGGTAGTCAAAGAGGAGGGTTTGACACTGAAGGGGTTTACAAAAGAAGATGTGTCAGAGCCAGGATGTGACTAGCCCACTGCTGCACTACATGATAAATATTTAGCTGTTTCCATGTTTCCATAGGTAAATCACAGGTGTCCCTCATCGCTGGGGTATGTAGCTGCGTGCAACAGGGCCAGCGGCTCACATAAATGTAGAGTGCTCCAGCAGACACATGTGAGGCTGCACGAAACGCAGGCATGCCACAGAGCACCTGACAGGTGCAGGCGTGGTCCACTGCAGACACGCTATCTTGACACGCTAACTCATTCTTAAATTCGAGCTACATGCCTGAGGCGACCTTCTAGGCACTCTGGTTTACTCTCTGAAGCCTGTTCCTCCTCTAGTCCTCGTCTGCGGCACACCCTCTTCCGATTGTAGTGCGACTTCTGTCATTGGGCTCATAATGGAGCTGCTAAGAGGCCTGAGAACTGGAGCTTGTATGATGAGTAATAGACTAATTAGTGCTTCGAAAATATGCAACTGATGCCTTGATCAGGCTGTTGTGCAGGTGTGTAATAGGCCTACAGCATCCTATAGTGTTTCTCACTGTTACTAATCCTCACTCTGACTAGGTCTTTTTCTAGGTTTGTCTGTAAACCTTTTGTTTATCAGTATAATTTTGCATATGATGAAATAAATATGTAATTTACAGTTAGTATAAGACTTACTTCATTACTGATGATGTCACAAATATATGTCTATGTGTATGTTATCGGTTAGCTTTGTAATTAGCTTTTGGATTTCTTTTAAGAAAAGTCTCTCTGATTGGCACCAAGAGTGAGAATGGGGTGGAAATGTAAGAGTACAGATTAATATCAACACACTGTGTAAACTCCCTTGGCCTAAGGCACTCAGTCTTGGTACACATTGGCTTCCTCTGTCATTTCATGAGCAGCTTGCATGCACACAGCACAGACCTAAGTGTGAAAAACCGGACAAGCAGGTCTGCAGCTCTTGTCTGCCACTGCAAGACTCTTGCCTCTGGTTGCAGAGTTGCCTTGCGTGAGGACAAAAGCTTTATCTTCTAGACCTATACTGACCTTCTGACCCGGCCCCTGACAGCAGCACTTTTACAACTCCTTTTTCACGCTTACAGGCACACATATTGTCTCAACACACAAATAGGCATGTGGATTAGCCACAGAACTTTAGCATTATTATGAGTGAAAATCCCAGTCAACTGTGGCACAGCTCAGATGAATAGGACAATGAGTCAGTGTGACTCATACTAATGCCTTTAATACCTCAAATGTAAAGGTGATTTGACCTGCAGTGAACACACAGTGAACCTTTACATAATTATATAATCATAGCTAAGATATTGTTTGTGAATTCACCATCTTATGCTGAAGTAAAAAAAAATAAAAAATGAATAGCCATTTGAAAAAAAAATAAAAATAGTATAACATTATATTATAACATACACATGCCATATTTCAACATATCTCCAATACTGCCATGCAGATTGTCAGCAATTAAATGCTTTAACTTTGACACCACCAAAAGAAACTTGCCAATAACAGCAGCCCTTTCATTATCACATAACCACAACGATGACAATAATAATTTAATTACTCTTTGACAGCATCTGTTCTTCAAAGTAAGAGCGTGTTGTAACTTCACTCAATACCATCTGAAGTTGTGGTGTCAGCTATTCTCTAGTGTCTGCTCAATGTTTACAGTTCAGTAAATAAGAAAAAATAATGCAACGTCAAACCACAGCAAGATAACTGTGACGACCTTCCAGACAGCGCACTAAATCAACCAATGGCACGCAAGTTAGCAATGGGTCTCTGGTTTCCACATTACAAAATTTGGACGCCCAAATATTTCATGAAGAAGTCTGCAGGTAAACTTACTATTGTTTTTGATGAAGCTGAACAGTGGGTTTCCGGAAATAAATTTCCCATTATTGTTTCATAAAAACTTTTTGTTAAAAATACTGTTCTGTTAAAAATGAAAGTTTATTCAGTGTTAATCTGCTAAATTACTGACAATTCAACAACTATTTAGCATCAATCCATTACACTTTATTGGTTAGTACAGGTCAGAATGACAATAATGTCATAGTCCAAACAAAAATGTAATTTGTCCAAAAATTAGGCAAAATTGGATGTATGGAACTTCAAAGCAAATGCAAGAAAGAGCAACTTTCACCTCAGCTAGATCACAGATGTAAAAGAAGAGTGGTGTGGTGAGCTAAAAGTTTAAATAAACTTTATACTGTTACACTTTTAAACATCAAGTAGGCCAACATTTTCTCCATGGAGTGACACCGAAGTCCTAATTTGCAGTAATATTTTGTCAAATAGTATAAT